GATTCCACTTTAAGAGCTAATTTAGTGAGCTCTTCAAAAGTGTTGAAACCTTGTAATTCAACCGTGTTGGCTATTTGAGTATTTAAGCCAAAAAGATACCTTACGAAGGTTTGTTCTTCATTCTCCTGCAGATTGCACCTTAGCAAGAGTTCTTCAAATTCTCTGGTGTAATCCTCAACAGATTTTGAACCTTGTCTAAGCGTTTGAAGCCTAGCAAAATTCTCACGTACGTACTCAGTAGGTAGGAACTTCTTTTTCAAGAGAGTCTTCATCTTTTGCCAGGTATCAACCGGGGGTTTCTCATCTCGACTCCTCTTGGTTTTGATGTTGGACCACCAGGTAGATGCATATTTCCGAAACTTCAAGGCTACAAGCTTGACCTTTTTCTCGTCGGATACTTCTTTGAAATCAAATACTCTTTCCACTGTTTCCAGCCATTCTAGGAACTCATCCGGGTCATTCTTTCCTTCAAAGATGGGAATATCCACTTTGAAATCAGAACCGGACTTATCTTGAGCTTTAGTTCTTATGGTGGCACTGGAACTAGCATCTTCTTCATCATCACTGGATTGCAACATAGCTAGCTTTTGTTTAGTGAGCTGGGCTATTTTCTTGGCTAGATAATCAACTTGAGCTTGCAGGGCTGCATTTGAAGCTACAAGTTCTTCATGGGTCATGTTTTGAGTGGTATTGACATGGTGTTTGGTTGGGCTGATTTGTGGACTTTGTGTGATGTATTTGGGATGAAGTATCAAGGAAGGAATAGGAAAAGGTGAGGAAAGTGTGTTTGGTTCTTTAGATATGTTAACAACAAGCTCTGATACCAAATGTTGTACTCAAACATAGGAAACAATTCACTCAGGATTTGGAAGTGGGAGATAATCGATTAACAAGCTCAGTAAATCGATTAATAGGATCTGATATAGAACTGGGAATGTTCTGAGGAACCCAAAAGTCGATTGACTCTACAAGACAATCGATTTACAAGGATTTACTCGGAACTGGATACTTCCTGAGGATGACGATAATCGATTATCAAATTATTGAAAATCGATTATGAGAAGTTTTGTACTTTGGAGAAGAATCTGCAGACTACAATAGTCGATTATCAATTAAGGATAATCGATTATTCAGAAGTTCAGAATCAGGATCAGAAGAAAAACAGAGAAAATGTTTTTGGGATTTTTGAATAGGGATAAACCAAACAATATGTAAGAGATAAACACACTCTTAATATATATTTGGGGCTGTTATCTATTTTATACAATAATAATCACTATAAGTATTAAATAGACTCCTAACACACACTCAAAAGTGGCCAACTTTAGAGATATTTCATTAGGAGATGGATTGAACTAGCTTCACACCAATTCAGGGAATACTTCAAGAGTAATATTAATAATGAGAATGAGATGATCTTTACAAGGCCTCATGGCCGAAATATATAATGCAAAATAAGGGAAATTACACTTCACTTTCCTACAAATCATGTGATTAATATCCATGTGTTATTATTCTTAGTGGGCAGCACTCATTGACCAGGAAAAGGAGGTTAAAAGGCTGAGATTTTGGCTAAGTATGGTTCATTAATTCCTGCCATGTGAGAAGGAAATCAAGGAAAATTGTAACTTTGACAATTAAGGATAATGTGACAAAGTTTGCACTATTCAATCAACGATTTTGGTTCCTTGATGTCTTTATCTTTATCCTTGGTAAATGGAGTTGTGTTTATGGATATTTGGAGTGGGAAATTCGGCCATATGCTGAAGAATATGAAGGGGATTGGGTTTTGAACAACAGGACAAAATCAGCACTATTCAATCAAGGAAACTTTTCCTGATTTTGTTTTTGTTTTGTGGAACATAATGTGGCCTGATTTTTGGGTAAAAGAGTTGGGAAATTCGTGGGTTTGAAGTAGGGAAGTGAAAGGGTGGTTTTATTTTAACTAAAAGGAATAACAGAAGTAGAAATAATACGCAAGGCTTGTCCTTCTGACCTCATTCTCGTTCAGGGCTAAAAAGGAGAGAAAGGACTTTATTTTGTTTATTAAATGGAAATAAAAGACTTTGGATATTTGGGAAGGATATGGAAGGGCTTGATATCAAGAAGAGCTTTGGAGGAGCAGGGTTATGGTTTGGGTTTTAGGGTACGAAAGGTTAATGAGTTCAGCCCAAAAAGGATCATAACACTTAGATATTAACCCTTTGATTTGTTTTATGGTTTGTGGTGTAACCTCCGTGCTTGTAGGAGCATCCCGGGGTACATCATTAAGAGGTATTTCGGTGAACAGTTTTTGAAAGAGAAGGTGGAGGTTAAACTCCACAAGTGATGAAGTAAGCACGTCAAGCTAAAGAAGCGCTGAACGGGAGGCAACCCGTTATCTCTCTTTACTTTATTTAATTATTATTATCTGTTATTCCTTATTTGAATAAATGAACGGAGACTTGTCGCACCTATGTGGTGGGCAAGATTTTATGTATGTGTTTCATGTGTAGATGACCAACATACCCGACTGCCTCGCGTGCCGAAGTTCGCCTGGTGGGTTCGGGGCTCATCGAGTGATTTGAGATGTGGGGCCGTCACCGCTCATTGACGGAGTCTGTGTACTTATCCTCGGCAGTTCTCGCCGATTACGGGTACGCTGAGGAGATGGAGCAGCTGCTACAAGGGACTAGGTGGCATTGCCTCTTCACGATGCGTGCCGAGTCCAGCCTGCCACTGACGATCGAGTTTCTGTGCTCTCTAGAGTTGGAGCCATCTACAGGGTCAAGGTCGATGAACTTCCAGTCCATCGACTCTCATACCACCCTCACCTTCACTCTCCTGGGGCGGGGATTTCAGCTAACGGTCGCCGATCTGGCTACACACTTGGGTCTCTACAATTGGGAGGAAACGTCGGCGTCAGAGTTCGATGCCGCACCATACCTTCTCCCTGCAGACATTGATCCCGCTGACTTTTGGGCGGAACATTCTTCCGATCCAGACAACTTTGAGGGCATGGGCCTAGCCAGGTTTTGGATTCAGCCGACTTGGCGAATCCTATCTTTCGTGCTTTCGACATCCTTCTTTGGGAAACCGTTGAACATGTATCGGGTATACCCCGATGATATGATTGTCTTCTGGAGCCTGCACACACGCCGGGAGGCGAATGTGGCTGACTTTGTGGCCCGATTCCTCTACAGTCAGTCCATGGGGAATCGGACGCACATTGTCTGTGGTTTTGTGGTCACCATACTCTTCCGATCACTCGAAGGGTTGGCGCCCATTCCGCGGGCCCAGATGATGATGCAAGATTTGGATGCCGGCATGCTGAGGAATGCCCACATCCGTAGGAGGTTGGGAGCTGGCTCTACCGAGAGCAACGCCGCTTCCTCATCTGCGCCCTCGACCTCAGGAGCATCTTCGCAGGTCTCGTCCAGGAGAGCCACTCGTCACCGTCCCACTCCTCAGGCCACTCCAGCTACGACCCAGGCGGATCCGACCCCTGAATGGGCTAGGAGGATCCTGGAGCAGCAGGATACCATCATGCAGAGGATGTCCGAAATCGGACAGCAGCAGGCATCCCAGGCTGAGAGCTTTGCTCAGCTTCGGAGGACCTTTACTGGCTTTTACTCGGATGTGCACATTGGGCTCACCCCTCGTTCTCCTGAGGGCGACGATCCATCCGCCTCAGTTCCTCCCCCTTCGTGATCTTCATATTATTTTCTTTTGAAAACTTTTATTTCTTTTTGTTTATGAGCAGGAATTTGATAAGTTCATTTTGTTCTTATTTTATTCTACATATTTTAAGCATTATTGCACAAAAATAGTGATTATGATTTGGTGAAAAGGAAGTGAGAAGATCGTTCTAACCAATCTTCACCCAAGCTATTTAAAAGAAATTACACTAATGCCGTGCCACTCCCCGACAACGGCGCCAAAAACTTATTGTGATATTTTATTTACTCGCAAGTGCACGAACCGTACGAAAGTATAGCAACGCAAATACGAGGTCGATCCCACATGATATATCCCTCTCGTGGTGTTTAGTGGGAGTTCAGGAATTCCTTTAGTTACCTTATTACAGGTTCACAATACTGGGGGAGATCTTACTTTAGTAGTGGTTTGGTACGTGGGATCGGTATGAATGGGACTTGGGTGGTGGTGGAATTATCGGTTAGTGTTGTAAAGTGTTAGGCAAGGGTCCTTAGGTTTCTTTTGGTTCGGGGTTAAACCCTTTTCTCTTATTTTAAAATTCCGAAAATAAGTGTCCAAAAACACACCCAGCATGGTCCCCATTATGTTCCCCAATACACTCAAATTATAACCCAAAATGCCCAGGGATATTTTTCCTTCACAATAATACATCCACTCCCCACAACAAACCTACAATAAAACTCCAAATGACACACCCCACACACACCCCTTTGTCTCCCAACCCTGACCAAATTCAAATTCTCCCAAAACCTTCACAAATACCCAACCAAATGTACCACTTCATCTTACCCCCACCCCTTGGCCCTCAACCTCAGCCCTCCCCACATTCATCCCTCCTTCCTCCAACATTTCCTGCAACTCAGCAACAGCCCAAAACCCCACCAAACAACCCGTATCCCTGATTTCATTCCACTCAAGAAACATAAGCACATGGGCATTATTTTGAGTGAGTTGTATTTTCCATTATTCCCTCCAATGTAATCCTATATATTCAGCAATAAGCATGGGTGTAGAAACACATTGTATTTTCCATTTTTAATCAAAGTGATTCACTTGTGTGTTTCATTCCAAATTCCTAATCCTATATCTTGAGAGTGGTTCTCTTGAGTGTGAGTTTTAGGTTTTAGTTATTTAAATAAGTGTGTGATATCTTATTTGAATGCTAGACTCCACCCCAAGTTAAAATAAGAGTGTGTAATATCTCTTAACACCAACTTGGCTTTTCCCAAAGAAATACTTCTTTTCTTGTCTCGAGCTGTCAAATAATTGATTATCGCTGCAAGAAATCGATTATCTATCCCTCGTGAAACATCTGCAGCCTTCAATAGTCGATTATCACTTTTAGATAATCGATTACCAGCCTTTCCCAGAACCCTGCACTTCTCAATAATCGATTTCCACTCTTCCATCAATCGATTATTATCCTTCTCAGAAAATTCCCAGAAAAACTACCCAGAACCTGCAGCCGTCCATAATCGATTATCCATTTAGGACAATCGATTATCACCACCTCCCTGCAAATAAAGAGGTTGTAACTATAAAACTCTGAGCTTAGATATAACATTTGGTATCAAAGCTTGTTGTTGAGCATTCCCTTGAGGCCATACAACACACTTCCCCTTTTCCTTCCTTTCCATCCCCTTGCCTTTCTCGCCCTTGCTATCATGTCAAACACATCCAACAACCTTTCCAACGAAGAACTTCTAGCTACCAATGCCGCCCTCAAAGCCCAAGTTGACTACTTGGCAAAACAAGTTGCCGAACTCACCAAGCTCAAGATGAACATGGTGAACACCCCGGAGGAAAGCGATGAAGAAGAAGAGGTTCCTCTCGAGGATAACTCTAGTAACACCGCTAGAGGAGAGAATTATGAACGAGGAAAAGATGTGCCCGAGGAAAAGAAAGTCAAAATCGTGGCTCGAGACTATTGAGCGCGTCTTTGAAGGAAAGAATGATCCGACGACTTTCTAGAATGGCTTGAGACTGTTGAGCGCGTCTTTGACTTCAAAGATGTGCCCGAGGAAAAGAAAGTCAAAATCGTGGCGCTGAAGTTCCGGAAGTATGCGTCCACCTGGTGGTCCAACCTATCAACCAAAAGAAGGCGAGAGAATAAGGCTCCCGTGAAGACCTGGCTCAAAATGAGGAGCTTGTTGAAGAAGAAGTTCCTGCCCGAACAATATGTACAAGACAACTTTGCCTGACTTCAACACCTAAGGCAAGGCCCTCGCTCGGTTGAAGACTATACCCAGGAGTTTGAAGAACTCCTAATGAGGTGTGACCTTCAACAAACATTGGTACGTTACCTATTTGGATTAAACACTCAAATAGCTAATGTAGTTGAGCTGCAACCCAATGATACCTTTGAAGAACTCTCTAAACTGGCTCTCAAAGTTGAATCCCAACTTAAGAGAAACAAAACCCCGTTTGCTCGTGCCTCCCCCTTCTCCAAACCCCCTCTTACCTCCTCAAAAGCAACTCCAAATACCCCTGCTCAAAACACCCCTTCAAAACCCAACTCCATCCCGTCTACCTCCTCCAATCCACCCCCCTTTAACACAGCCCAAACCAACGCACGAACTCCCAAATGCTTTCGTTGCCAAGGCATAGGTCATTTTGCCAATGAATGCCCCAACAAGAAGATTATGGCTATTGTTGAGTATGAAGAAGAGGAGATCAGCCCCTCATGGCCTGAAGAAGAGATTGAAGAAGAAGAATGTGTAGGAGCCAATGAAGGAGAACTCTTGGTCATCCGAAGGACCTTGAGTAGCATAGCTAGTCCCGATGATCAACTACAACGGGAGAACATCTTCCATACCCGTTGCACTATCCAGCAGAAGGTGTGTACTTTGATCGTGGACAGCGGAAGTTGTACCAACGTAGAATCTAAAACGTTGGTAGATAAGCTGAAGTTGAAGACCTCACCACACCCGAGGCCATACACGATTCAATGGTTGAACCATGGCAAGGGATTATGTGTGGATTCCCGGAGTTTGGTATCATTAAGCATTTGACGAAGTTATTCCGACGAGATATGGTGTGATATTATTCCAATGGATGCCTGCCATGTTCTATTGGGACGACCTTGGTTATTTGATCGGAAGGTGTTCCATGATGGATATGCCAACACATATTCATTCCTCATCAACAAGAACAAGGTTACCCTCACATCCTTGCCCCCCTCTAACCCCACAGCTTCCCCCCCATCCGAAGAAGAAACCCCCGTTCTCATTTCCACTATATTGCAAGCCGAACACCATGAATATGAACCCCGAAAAGAACTGATTCTCTTTGAAAATGGAGCATCCGATTCCGCCACTACCTCAGCCCCACCTCATCCGTTAGCCAAGCCTATCATTGAGCAATTCTCCCATGTCTTTCCTGAAGATGTGCCTCACGGCCTACCACCAAAACGAGACATTCAACACAAGATTGATCTCATTCCCGGAGCTGCCCTCCCAAACAAGCCTGCGTACCGAATGAATCCTGAGGAAACCAAGGAGATCCAACGACAAGTTGATGAGTTACTAGCCAAAGGATTCATGAGAGAAAGCTTGAGCCCCTGTGCTGTTCCGGCTCTTTTGGTACCAAAGAAAAATGGTACTTGGCGTATGTGTTGTGATAGCCGAGCCCTTAATAAGATTACCATCAAGTATAGGTACCCCATGCCTAGGCTTGAGGACATGTTGGATGAACTTCATGGATCCAATATCTTCTCAAAGATTGATCTCCGAAGTGGTTATCATCAAATTCGGATCTTTGAGGGAGATGAATGGAAAACAGCATTCAAAACGAAGTTCGGGTTATACGAGTGGCTAGTTATGCCATTTGGATTAACCAATGCACCAAGCACATTCATAAGGCTAATGAATCAAGTGTTGAAGCCATTTATAGGTCACTTTGTCGTAGTATACTTTGACGACATTTTGATCTACAGCCGGAACGAGGAAGATCATGCTAATCACCTCACTTTGGTGATTAAGAAATTGGAAGAAGAGAAGTTATATGGAAACCTCGAGAAGAGTCAATTCTTTTCTCAAGAAACCGAGTTCTTGGGATACTTTATCTCAAGTGAAGGGATCAAAGTCGATGAGAAGAAAACACAAGCCATACGAGATTGGCCCGTTCCCACGACTATGCAGCAAGTTACTTCGAAGGTACCGGAACGTAGGAAGATAGCCGCTAAACACTTCCTGAAATCATGCTAGTGACGGGGGGAGTGTCTGAACTGTTTTTTAGGCTTCAAACTCACCTTGGGCTCCCGGGTTGTTCGGAAGCTTCGTTAGTTCCTAGCGAATTGCGTACGGGGGCATAACCGGGACGGGTCAAAGCTCTTCAACAAGCTCCAGGAGTGTGATGCATCGGGAGTTGGCATCGGGGCTGTCCTAACTCAAGAGGGACACCTAGTTTCCTACTTCAGTGAGAAGCTCAATGACACGCGGAGACGTTATTCTACCTACGACAAAGAATTCTATGCTTTGGTACGGTCTCTTGAGCATTGGCGACACTATCTCGTGAGTAAGGAATTCATCCTTCACTCCGACCATGAGGCGTTGAAGTACATTCAAGGGCAGCACAAGCTTCGGCCCCGTCATGCCAAATGGGTTGAATACATTCAAACCTTTACATTCACCATCAGGCACAAGAACGGGTCCATGAATAAAGGCGCGGATGCATTGTCCCGGAGACACTTATTACTAACGGTACTTAATACCAAACTTCTTGGCTTTGAATTTTTGCAGGAACTCTACAAGGATGATGAAGATTTCAAGGAGATGTATGCCCAATGCTTATCTCGGCCCCATGGAGATTACCTAATCAAAGATGGTAACCTCTTTCGTGGTAATCAACTGTGCATCCCGAGGAGCAGCGTTCGTGAAACCCTGATAGACGAGGTCCATGGTGGTGGACTAGCCGGTCATTTCGGGATCAACAAGACTTATTTGATGATGAAAGAACATTACTTCTGGCCCAAAATGGAGAGAGACATCGAGCACTTCATCAAGAGATGTCACACGTGCCAACTTGCAAAGTCCCAAGCCTTACCCCAAGGAATGCACTTACCCTTGCCCGTCCCGTACGCCCCGTGGGAAGATGTTAGCCTGTATTTCATTACCGGGCTGCCCCGAACTCAACGAAACAAGGATTCCATAATGGTGGTTGTGGATAGGTTCTCAAAGATGGCCCATTTCATTCCCTGTGTTACTACCAGGGGCGGAGGAGAGGGGGGGCATGCCTGGGCAAGTGCCCCCCCCCCCCCGACAAAATTCCGGCAAAATAGGATTAGGGTAGCTATCGGCGATGGGAGGCCGGATTTGCCCCCCTAGATTTGTCCCAGCTTCCACTTACAGTCTCTTCCTCTCTGGTCCAGCAACCGCTCGAAGAAGATGAACAATCGTCGAAGAAGAAAATAAACAAACGGCACCGTACGATGTCGTTTTATAAAGGTTTTAAAAAATTCCTTTGGGCTTTGACCCAGTCCTACACTGCACGAAGCCAAATTGCCCAAAAAAATTTACGGAATGCTTAAATTCCATGGAGCTTATTCGGCTGCCACGTCCAAATTCCAAACCAATGAACCACGAATGCAAAAAATATGTGATCGGGCTACTTAAGCCAAACCCCAGGTGTTCCTTATTCATGTTTTAATTTTTTGTTTAATTACTTCTTTTATTGTTAGTGTTGTGTTTCAATTTTTGAATGCTTCGTATTTGTTAAAAGTAGTACTTTGAATTTAGGTTATACTCTCTTCGTCACTAAAAGATTACCACAATTTTAATTTTTTAGTCTAATTGTGGTACTATTAAATATAACTTAAAATAATTAAATATTATAAAAATTTGATATTTTACAACTATATTTTAAAATAAATTAAATTTTACAAAATTTATTAAATATACCTTTTCCATAATTCACGGTCAAAGACTGACCCAGTTTGACTAAAAAACTTAAACTGTGGTAATCTTTTAGGGATAGAGGGAGTATTAGAGTTAAATTACAACAAATTGTTACAGAGTATTTGTTTCATCAATGATTTATTTATACTGTTGCAAATTAGAAATTCTTGAGATGGACAAATTTTTTATTAGACAACTAAATACTCCCTCCGTCCTAAAATTAATTTCCCATTTTGACTTTTGTAGTCAAAGTTTTTAAACTTTGACTGCATATTACGGAAAAAATATACTCCCTCCGTCCATAAAAGAACTTCCCGGTTTGACCGGGCACGCAAATTTATGTGTGATAAAAATTGTATTGACTTTCCCATTTTACCCCTCAACTTATTTGCCCTCTCCAGTGCCATAAGCTATCTACCGACTACTGGTGTTGCCAAAGCCGCCGGTGGTTCACCGACCGACCACTCTTCGGCACCACTGCCTTGTCTGCCTATGTTCTCGTCACCGCCCCTCCCCCTGCCTCCACAACCTTCCGCCATCGTTACCCCCGTCGCAACCCCCAACCCCCATCGTCGCAGACCTGCAAGTCTGCAATTCCCATCTTCCCAATTCAACCCCTTTCACTACAGAGATCGAATCAGATTTCCCCATCGTAGATCTGGGAAAGCGAACCTTCGTGCAGATCTAGATCCGATCAGATCTAGTAGTGAGGGTGACAATCTAACTCCAGTGAAGATACAATCCCATACTTCATGTTCCAGGGGGAGAAGGAATAAGAAAAAGAAGGAAGCAGATAAAAGAATTGAAGAACAAAGAAGAAGAAGACGGAAGAAAAAAGAAAAAAAATCGGGAAAAGTATAGGAAGAAGGAGAAATGGAGAATGAAAGAAAAATGAAGACTGAAAGAAAAAAATGAAGAAGAAAGAGAAAACTAAGAAAAAGAAAAAATGACGGAAGGAGAGAAAGAAAGATGGTGGAAGAAGAAGGGGATAAGATGGAAGAAATTATGAGAAAGAAGGAGATAGCGTGGACGAGTGGACCACATTTGGTTTGGGGAGGAGTGATGGGGTGGGTTATTGGGATGGAGTTAAGGGCAAATAAGACATTTTACCAAAAAAAACTTACCTAAAATAGAAATGGGAAGTTTTTTTGTGTACGGACGAAAAAGGAAAGTGGGAAGTTCTTTTATGGACGGAGGGAGTATAAAATTTTCATATAAATTTAGTATCAATAGTTTCATTTTGAAACATAGTTTTGAAATATATTATTTTGATAATATATATTCATATAAAAATGGAGATATTAATGGTCAAAGTGCCGCATTGGAGACTGTGAAAAGTCAAATGAGAAATTAATTTTAGGACGGAGGGAGTAATTTATCTTTGGTAAATGATAAAGACAAGGAAAAATATTTTTTTGGAGAAAGAAAGTATGGTTTTAGATGATGATATTATTGCTAATCTGAGATTACAAAAAGTAATTAATACTTATGCATTTGAAATTAGAGATACCATAAGAAAAAGATACTTAGAAAAATGCTCTTGGCATCTCGAAAAAATTTTCTACGGCCCCAAAACGATTCTTTCTTCATTACACAAATAAAAAGTACTTATATAGTTGTATGTGAATTTACTCTATTCCTACTAAATTTGGTACTATTATTAGAATTTTTGTTACTCCGTATTTTTAAAATGAATTTTTGCTTCCTAATGACCGTAATTGTGCCCCCGCGAGGATCCGACCCTGCCTCCGCCACTGGTTACTACATACGATGCTTCCCAAGTAGCCGATCTCTACTTCCGAGAGGTCGTTAAACTCCATGGCATACCCCGCAGCATGGTCTCTGATAGGGATCCCAAATTCCTTAGCCATTTTTGGATAACATTGTGGAGAAAGCTAGGCACAAAGCTCAAATTCAGCACCGCTAGCCATCCGCAAACTGACGGTCAAACTGAGGTCACCAACAGAACGCTTGGAACTCTCCTTCGAGTTCTAATCAAACGAAACATCAAGCAATGGGAAGAGCTACTGCCGCACGCCGAGTTTGCCTATAACCGAACCCCAAATAAGACCACAGGACTATCCCCCTTCATGGTGGTCTATGGCTCGAACCCCCTCACCCCACTTGAGCTTGATCCCATCGTAGGAAAAGAGCAATACAGTTGAGGAGCTGATCAATGGTCCAAGGAAATTCAAGAACTCCACGAAAAGGTTCGAGAGAATATTGAAGTGGTAAATGAAAGTTAGTAACAGGATCAACAAAGGAAGAAAATTCACAAGTTTTCAACCCGATGACTTGGTTTGGATTCACTTAAGGAAAGAGCATTTTCCCGCTAAAAGTAAGTCCAAGTTACTGCCAAGAGCCGACGGTCCATTCGAGATTTTAGAGAAGATCAACAACAACGCCTACAAAGTCAATTTGCCTGGAGATTACGGAGTTTCTGCTACATTCAACGTTAAGGATCTCAGTCCGTATTTTGACCCTGAAGAACTTCCGAGTTTGAGGACAAACTCTTCTGAAGACGGAGAGGATGATATATCCTAGAGCACCACAAATCACCCTCAAGTCCTTAAGGAAATCAATGGAATAATGTCCAAGTGTTATGACCCCCTCTAGAATGAAATCATCACCAAACCATGCACCCTAGCCATACTTACCCTGAACCCACCACCACCTTAATAGCCAATCACAACATTTCACAATCCGTTCCCAGGAATCCAAAGAAAACCAAGCCCCAATTTCCCTTTTCTCTTATTTTAAAATTCCGAAAATAAGTGTCCAAAAACACACCCAGCATGGTCCCCATTATGTTCCCCAATACACTCAAATTATAACCCAAAATGCCCAGGGATATTTTTCCTTCACAATAATA